AGCAGATCCAAACTTGTTAGTGAATAATCAGAACTATGATGATAATCTCTTAATTCCATCAGCAATTACTTCTTAGGTAATTGGTACAATTATATTCCTACCAGTATATTTTTCTTAATTTAAAAAACAAGCATAATTTTTAAGCCTGCTTTTTTATGAAAGGCATTTCTGCTTTCTTAAACCAAAATCTACATTTTGTAACATTAGAAGTATTACCAAAGTCAACAATATCTTACTGGAATTGGTAGCATTCCTTTAGTACTGAGATTTTTTTGATAATTAAATTTTACATTCTCCATTCAGAACTGTTGTTTTAATCCATAGCCAACACAACACAAGCTTCACATCAGGAAATTAATGCTGATGGTTTCTGTTTCACTATAAATGCCTACAGTGATTATATTTACCTGATAATTCCAACTGGTTTTTGGCTGAAATTGACTATGGCAAAATTATTCTGTCACAGGTAAAGGAAATTCCTAAAAGTCAAAACAAGAAATAATAACTTCACAAGAAATGATGAAAGTACTTACAGTAAATAAAGCTATCCATCGGTATCTCATTAGTTTGGAAAATCAACCATGTAATAGTGTAGACAAATACTCTTGTGTAAAAATATAACTGCAATATTATATTAAACAGCAATTCTTTTAAATCAATGAATCAACCATGAGCAATTTACAGTCAGATTACTTTGTTTTGTTTATAAATGTTCTTCCACTCAGTTTATTGATGAAGATTTTGTCTTAAACTCTGTCTACAAATCTGTGTGGTACATTAAAATACAACTCTAAATAACTGAAAATTTGCTACTGATTTTCACAATAAAAGTAAATGATACTTTTTATTTTAAAGATTTATTTATTTATGCATACAAGAGCTGGAGTACAGGCCAGAGGTGGGGGAGGTGGTGGTGAGAGGACTCACCAGAGACAGAGCAGGGAACAGAACAGGCAGATCAACTGAAGTATACTGCTGAGGGGAGCAGCGGGCGAGTCAGGAGAGGTCTGCTGCAGCTCCCTGGCAGGCCGGGGATCAAACTTGTGCTGCAGAGGCTGCAGACAGTTTCATAGGTTGCATCTTAATCCCCTGCACCACCAAGGAGGCCCCAATACTTTTCTTATCTATCTTATCCTTAAAAAAATATTAGATTAAGGGCCTCCCTGGTGGTGCAGGGGTTAAAGTTTCAGCACTATCAAGCTACCACTAGCTGCTGTGGCAAGAGTTTGATGCTGGCCAGGGAGCTGACCCACATGGCACAGCACCTCTCCTGTCTCACCCACTGCTCCCCTCAGCAGGGTATTTCAGCAGATCCATCTGTTCTGCTCCCCACTCTGTCTCTGGTGGATCCTCTCACCTCCCACACCTCTGTCCTATACTCCAGTTCTTGTATGCATAAATAAATAAACCTTAAAAAAACTAGATTAACAATTATGAGTTAAAAAAATATTCAGCATCCTAACATATATTGCTTTCCGTCTCTCCCTCTTTTCTCAACTCCCATCGCTCTTCCTTCCTTCCTTCCTTCCACTATAAAGTTTGGAATTGCCAGATATTTAGCTTCCCAGTCTCCTGTAGTTAGGCTACATCGCAGCAAGGAAATGGCACTGAGATAGAATCTAGTGAGAGGAAAGCAAGACACAATTTTCCTTCCCAATAAAGATACATGAAAAGAAATGCCTTTATTCTTATCCAGTTATACAGAAGCAATACAGCAGGATTGCTGGCAAAGTTGACCTTTGAATAGGCTGGGAACTTAAATTGGGGGTGGGGAGTTACCCCCATTCCCAGAACTCACAAAAGTGCCTCACCGAGTCAAAACTTTGGTTGAGCTACATGCTTGCTTTCCTTCTTGGAGTCTGGAATTTTGGCACCTGCTAGACAGAGCGTGCCCACGATGAGCGGCCCCCAATAAAAACCTTGAGCAGTGAGTCTCTAATGAGCTTCCCTGGTAGATAACTCATCATGTATGTTATAACAGCTCATTACTGAGGGAATTAAACACATGCTGTTTTACTTCACTGGGAATGGAGTTTATGCCTGGTTTCCTCTGGTCTTTACCCCACTATCATTTTCCCTGTCTTGATTCTGCTTTGTAACTTTCTGTTGTAATAAAAGTGTTGTGCTAAGATCTGTGAGTAATTCTAACAAATCATGGAACCTGTACTGATCTATAAGAAGATTTCACTTACAGGTGTAATATAGGAAAACTGAACAAAGGGTCAGGAAAAAGCAAAACTTGCAGGCAAATTATATATTTGATTTCTCCTTTGAGCTACATTTTTCCCTTTCTTCTGCTTACTGTTCTACTACTGACTAATTTGCCTCTTCTTTTTCTAGGTGAAAGCTGAGGTCATTGGTTTGAGACTTTTTCTACTATTGGTATTTAGTACTATATAAATTTCCCTCCCTCAGTCTTACTTTAGGAGTTTATATTCCATACATTTTGATATTTGGGTTTTCATTTGTATACAAAGCAATATGCATTTTTATTTCTTCCTTGAGCCATGTGTTATATAGAGTATGCTATTTTGTTTTAAAATATTTGAGTATATCCAAGATATGCTTTGTATGATTTGAATCTATTTTTTTTGTTTTAAACATATATTTTGCCATTTTTTTTATTATATATATATATATATTTACATTTTTCATTTTTGTACAATGTATGCATTTTCATCTTTGTTATAGTCCCTGTGAAATTCCCACCATCCTTGTTTTGATCCTACTCCCTTCTCCCCACCTTGTAGTGTCTCTCTGGTTTATAGTTGCCTGTTGATTCTGATTTTCACTTTTATTATAATTTGACTTGAATATCTTTACATGCATGGAAATTTGTTTTATGACCAAGAATATTAACTGCCTTGGTAAATATTCTATGTGCATAAGAAAAAAAAAAGTGTATTCTACTGATGTCCTACAAATGTTATTTAGGTCAAATCAGTAAATTTTGTTCTTAAAGTTTTGTCTTATTTTCTACTTGTTTTGTCACCTATTTAAAGATACATATTGATATCTCTACATTGTACATTTGTTGAATTTTCCTCACCATTCTGTTTTTGCTGTATTTTGAAAGCTCTATTTTTAGTATATAAAGGTTAGAACTGTTACACCTTAATGAATTGACACCTTGTCATTATGAAATGCTATTTTACTCATCCTTGTAACATTCTTTGTTGACATTTACTTTGTATCAGAGTAATAAATCCATTTCTTTTAATTAGTGGTAAAATGGTATATCTTTTCCACTCTTTTACTTTTAACCAAGATTACATATAGTTGTGTCTTCATTTTTTAAATCTTACTTGATAAGCTCTGCCCCTCACTTGTTGTATTTAAGCCATTTACATTAAATGTGATTACTGGTATAGCTGGGTTTGTTATTTTGCTATTTGTTTCTATTCACCCAATCAATCCCCCCCCCTTTTTTAAAAAGATTTATTTATTTATGCATATAAGAACTGGGGTATAGGCCACAGGTGTGGGGGTGAGAGGATTCACCAGAGACAGAGTGGGGAACAGAACAGGCAGATCGACCAAAGTACACTGCTGAGGGGAACAGCGGGCGAGTCAGGAGAGGTCTGCTGTGCCATATGGGTTGCTCCCTGGCTGGCCGGGGATTGAACTTGTGCTGCTGTGGCTAGCTTCATAGGTTGCATCTTAACCCCTTGCGCCACCAGGGAGACCCTCCTCCCCCTTTTTTTCTGCCTTTGGATATTTCTTCCCTGTCTCCCCCCACCACACCATCCTACCACGTTGCGCACTCTCTCTCTCTCTCTCTCTCTCTCTCACACACACACACACACACACACACACACACACCCTATTATAAACTCTATAGCAGTGACTAAAACAACAGTTTGCTAAAAGTCAACAAGAGACTCATTTTATAGTACACATCTTAAACTTGTAACAGTCTACCTTCAAGTGATAGTATGTCACTTCATATAAAAACCTAAAATTGTGTATTTCCCTTTCTCCCCTCTCAAGCTTTGTGCTATTGCTATACATTTTACTCTTACAAATGTTATAACCCCATACCACACTATTATTTTTAAGGCCTATTCTTTATTATGTTTATTGTACATAAGGAAATAAAGCAATTATAAACTATCGATATTTACCCAGGTTTTAACTAATCCCATAACTTCAACATTATTATGAGTAGCATAAGTCAGATCACCCTAAATTTAAAATTCTTCTTAGTTATTTGATATTGTAAGTAAAATCATAAAGTGTTACAATTATTATTAAAAATTAAAGAGAGTAACACTGTTAAATAACTTAGGTCTGCAGTCCAATTGTGAGAGAACACGTGAGCCCACGACTGGTTCCACATAAGAAGAGGATCATGGAATCCCTGGAGCAGACACAGTGTGTTTTAGTAGGTTGTGTTAAGACAGAAGTGGAGACTTAGACTCACTGGTTTCCACATCTATACAGTTTTATTTTAAAATATATTAGACTTAAGTGTCAACTTGAATGGCCTTGACCATCCAACTAGAAAAAACCTGACACATGTATGAGGAATTGATAAACTCTGCAAAGATGAATGCCAACTCCTCTTTCCCTCCCTCATTATCTCTTTATCTGATTCTCTCTGTTCTATTCTCAGCTCTACACTGTTTCTCCTTTCCTGGAAAGGCATGTAGGAAAATGATAAAATATTTAATCTTTAAAGTAGGACAAAATGAGTTTAAATTGCCACTAACCATTTAATAGTTGTGTAGTATTTAATGAGTTACATCACATTCCCATAATTTTTCTCATTTGTAACATGAAGAAAATATTGGCACTTAACTCTAGGGTCATTAGCTGGGTAAATTAAATGATACAGGCAAAATTCCTTGCCCATACAAAGTGGTCAGAATGTTCTCCATTATTTCATTAGTTCATTCTGAGATTTTTGTAAAATGGGCCTATTAAACTACCTTTCTCAGTCTTTTATCAACTACCCTTTAAAAACAGTTTAAATAGTATGAAAAAATGTATATATTTACCAAAGTAGTTAAAATTTCCAGTATTCATTTGTTGTATATAGATCCAATCGGTAGCACTTCCCTTCTGCCTGAAAAAAATGTTACCATTTGTTACACTGCAGGTCTGTTGGTGATGAATTCTTTCAGCTATTCTATCTCTGAAAATAAAACTTTATTTTACTAAAGATACATTCATTGGCTAGAGAATTCTAGGTTGACAGTTTTTTTCCCCAGTACTTGAAAGATGTTGATGCAATGTTTTCTTGTTTGCATTGCTGCTGCTAAGAATTATGTTGCCATCTTTATCTTTGTTCCTCTGTACAGAATGTGTCTTTTTTTCTATGCGTTGCCTTCAAGATTTTCTCCTTATCTTAGGCTTTGAACAGTTTGAATATGATATCCCTTGGCATAGTTTTCTTCATGTTTCTTATGTTTGGGATTCATAGACATTCTCACTTTGTTAGCATATAGTTTTCATTAAATTTGGAAATGTTTCAGTCATCATTTAGCCAAATATTTTTTTCAATCATGCCCTTTTTTTTCCTTCTCCTTTCCTTTAGGCTCTTTTCTCATATATTAGGCCACTTGATGCTGATGCTGTTTACTTTTAAAATGATTTTCCTTTCTCTATGTGCTTTATTTTGAATAATTTATATTAGTATACCTTCAAGTCCACTAATTTTCTCTTCTGTAATGTTCAATCTGTCATAAAGCCCAGTATTTTTATCTCAGACATATCAGTTTTCATCTTCAAATGAAAAGTTTAGTAACTTTTGAATAAAGGAAAACTGTTATAAGAACTATTTTCATGTACATATCAGCCTAATTCTGACCTCTGTGTCAGTTTTGAATCAGACTGATTTCTATATAGGTCATATTTTCCAACTTCTTTGTATTCCTGGAAATTTTTAATTAGGTGTCAAATAGTGTGAAATTTTATGTTGTTGGATGGACATTGAATATATTTATATTCTTGAGTTTTATTGGGGGATGAAGTTAAATTACTTGAAAACTAGGAATTTTGGTCCTTTTGGATCTAAATGTCAAGATTTGTTATGCTGGCCCAGAGAGCAATGCTTACTCCTGAGACAAGATTATTTGAGCGCTCTACCTAATGCCCAGTGGATCCCAATGTTTTCAAGTCTGGTTTGTGGGAACACACACTATTCCGGGTTCTGCATAAGTACCATTCCTAGTAAACCTTTTATATGGTTTTTCCCTAGCTCATGTAGCTTCCTCATATGCATGTTCTATCAAATAATAATAATTTTAATACTCAAAGGAGACCCCTTGCAACTCTTCAGTGTTCTCTGCAGCTCTCACCTCTCTAATCCTTTGTCCTGTTAAATCTAGGTTTTCCTAGATTATTCCTAGATTATTTCTAGGTTATCCTAGATTTTCCTTAGTTTTCCTAGATTATCTGAATTCAGGGAGTCTATCATTCTCTACCTGACTTCTTAACTAGCACCAAGCCTAGAAACTCATAAAGCTCACCTTCTTTCTAATTTTCAGGGATGTCACTGTATTTTATTCCTTGATGTTCAGCATCTTGAAATTGTTATTTCACATATTTTTTTCCATTTTGGAGTTGTTGTCTGTAGGAGGGTATATCTTTTCCCTGTGATTCCATCCTGGCTAGAAGTAGTTTACTAACCATCATGTTTATTTCTCTACACTGAATCACTGTAAAAGGCACCGCAGTTGAATCACTCCTGATGGACTGGGGTCAAATTTTGCATGGCTATGAGGCTGCCCCTCTAGATTGTGCCTGTGTGGGTCCTTTCATTAACTTCCTTAAAGGCAGCCATTCTTCTGTTTACAAAGCACATTTGGAAAAAAAATAGTATTAAGGCTAAAGAATTTTAATGGTATGGGGAAGAATGGAAGTTTGTGCAGCTTTGTCAGTCACAAAGTGATTTTACATTTATAGAGAACAATTTTTTTTTTAATAATCTTTCAAGTGAAAAGAACATTTATGGGCCTCCCCTGGTGGCGCAGCAGTTGAGCGCTGAGCTGCAAAACTGCCCGCAGCCTCTGCAGCGCCGGTTCAACCCCCGGCCGCTGACAAGGGTTCCAGATGGCAGGACAGACCTCTCCTGCCGCGCCCGCTCTCCCCTCAGCAGTGTGTTTCGTCAGTCTGCCTGTTCTGTTCCCCGCTCTGACCCTGGTGAATTCTCTCATCCTCTCACGCTTCTGACTGTACCCAGTGCTTGTATAAATAAATCAATCTTAAAAAAAAAAAAAAGAAAAGAAAAGAACATTTATGAAAGCAGCAAGCAAGAAGATACTGAATGTAAAATCAAGAAAAAGAATAGGTGATATAGAAAAGGGAAGGGTTTGAGTTTAAAAATATTCTAAGGAAAATCAGGGAAACAAAGTCTCATACATTGACACATCAGGCATTTTCTTCTATGTAGTTTAGGAAATAGTCTTTTGTTCTTTTTTTCCTTCTTACTCAAAAATTCAATGTTGACTTAACTAATAAGCTAAGGTGAAGTATTAATCAAAGTTCATGGCTTGAAGTACTATTAGCCCCATTATCCCTTAATAAATGTCAAAACAAAACATGGCAAGTTCATGGGTATGTAAAGTTAAGATAATGTAGGGTATAGGTTGCATACTGGTGGCCCAAGGGCTTTATTTGGCCTGCAGATATAATGCTTGCCTACGGAGCAGTGACCAACACCATATTTTACAAAAGTGTGAATTTGCGGCCACTACAGCCATCCTCCACTATTGTTTTCCTCCTCTATCAACTACCCTAGTACTTCTTGTCCCTATAGGTATTTGGGATAGTGACATCTTATTAAGGACACATAAAAATACAAGTATTTTTTAACTTAGACAACAAATGTATAAAAACATGGCGTGCACGCGTGCGCGCACACACACACATATATGTATGTGTGTATAAATGTATGCATGTATGTATGAAATACAGAATTCCTAGAAAGATACATAGGAAAGAGTACTTATTTTCTAACAATTACAGAAAGCTATTATTTGGGGCACATATTTAAACTACAGATTTGTGGGAGACTAGGAAGTATCCCAAAATGTTTAATCACAGATAATCAGATATATCTCATATTTGGAAACCACAGTCACCCCTACCTTTGCCTGTTTCAAAAGGTACACATAAAAGGAAGCATAATTACAAAGAGCTAAATTGATGTTCTTAAGGAAATTATGTCCTGGCACACTTTTCCTTCCAATATACTATAAATCAGGGGAAAAAATCTGAAACTTAGGTATACAAAAGAGTAACTTCATGTTCAGCTTCTAGAATTCATGCTTTGACCAACTAAATAAGACTAGAAGAGCAAACAAGCATGTTAAAAACCACTGTACTCCCCCAAGTTTCTAAATATTGTGGTTTCTTTCACCTCAGTGCTCTTAAAGCACTGAAACAGACTTCTAACCCCAAAATGATATATCAGCTGTCAACCAATATTTGTCAACCTCATTTAAAAGAAAACTTCCAAATTACCAAACCAAGTTTAATTAGTGGTAAGGCATCCAAGTTTGCTTTTACTAATAACAGATTTTTAACTGCTACTAAAAGAAAGGGGATTAACAGGTCAAAAGTGTGAGAAATGTTTGACTAATAGGTAATTTGAAGGGAAAAAAAAAACAGAAAAAAGAAGCTGTACTATTTAACATAAAGGACAGTATAATGTATAAATTCTTTTCAAAAGTCAAGACCTTTTTAAGCACCCTAAGAAGCTACATATAAAGTTTCATTTTGAGAAAGACTAAAACACTACCTTGGTATGTACATCATTAATGTTTTTTCCTGTCTTTGGCAGGAAAAAAAAGCACACCAGGGAGGGACCTAAGATAGGAATGAAAAGATGTGTTTTTCAATCTTTGTACATTCCCAACCTTCAATATCCATGTTTTACTGAATCTCAATATTTTAAAAACAAGCGTCATCTGCTAGGGTGGTTAAAATTCACATAACAGGGACCTCCCTGGTGGCAAAAGGAGTTAAGCACAGCACTATGAAGCTATCTGCAGCCACTGCAGCACGAGTTCAAACCCAGGCCAGAGAGCAACCCACATGGCGCAGCAGACCTCTCCTGTCTCACCAGCTACTCCCCTCAGCAGTGTATTTCAGTCAATCTGCCTGTTCTGTTCCCCACTGTCTCTGGTGAATCCTCTCACCCCCCACACCTCTAGCCTGTACCCCAGCTCTTATATGCATAAATAAATAAATCTTTAAGGAAAAATTCACATAACATATTCCTTTCAGAGGGCAACAAAACTGTTTACTTAATAAAAGAACTGCACAGTCATCTAAACTATATGAGTAAGAATAGTAAACAACTCTTAAGTGCAAAGCAAAAAGGATGTGAGTCCAGTTAAGGGAAAGGGCTAAAAGTGATTTTAGTTTTATGTCTCAAAACACTAGAGTACAAATTCCTTCTCCAAATAAGATCAAATATCAAGCAATTATATTGTGTGAATTTTAAAGCCATATGATACAATAAATTTTAGAAATTTTTGTAGTTTATCGAACAAGTTAACACTAGTCAAACTAACATATACAAAAAAGCATCCAAGCCTACTGAAAAAGTTGATTCAAAGGAGAAGAAAATAAATTTTGTTAGCAGTCACCAACAGTGTGTAAATAACAGCTGTCAACAAAATCAAGGGGGAAAAATTAAATGTATTAACAATGGAGAACTGGTTATAAACTGTTCTTGGCCATATCTTGATATGATCATTACTCTGAACACTGAACTAAAAGTTGTGGTTTTTACTGTTAGAAGGTGTAGTGATTAAATGCACAGACTTTGGGACTAGACTGCCAAGATTCAAAATGCTGGCTTTCTCAACCTACTATCTGTGTTACTATAGGTAAATTCATCCAACTGTACCTCAGTTCCTTATCTGTAAATTGGAGAGCCAGCAGTTCTCAACCTTAGTGTTGTTCTAAAAAGAATTGAGATTTTACTACATTAAACAGTGAATTTTATAGGTGTATATTATCATTGTTATCTAAATATCCTTGAAACAGTGACTCAGTCTCACCTACATCCTCTACTTTGTCTAAAACAATGGCGAAGACAACTCTATGCCTTTT